TCCTGACTCTCCTTCCCAAGGGCCCTGGCATCCAGGCCGCGATGGCTGTCTACCTGAAGACACCATTGCAGAAATGGATGGGACATGCTGAGCTCCCTTCCAGACACCTGGCTCTACTTGGCTGGTGGACATGGTACTGCTTCTACACCATAAGTTCAGGTGTTGCTTATGTCACAACGTCTAGAGGGTGTGTGTGTGTGTCTTTTTTCCTTTACCAAAAATGTACAAATTCTCTCCCTAGCTTCTACATCAACCTCTGAAAAGGTCAGGGAAAAAACTTTAAATATCAGAGATGTCACCATGTCCAATGCTCCCATTATGCTATTTCACGACAACTCAGGCTGACCACCCCCCACCCCACATCCACCCCCCGCCCCGCCAATGCAGGCTGGAAGGGAACATGTGCAGAGTTCCTCATTTATGAAATGGTCACCATCCCCTTCAAGAACATTGTCACACGAGGCATCTACATAATTGAGTCTCATACCAACTCTTTTACGTGGCCTTTATTCTTTCCACTTTTATGGTTAGAAAAAAGTGAGACCCAAAGGCTTGGAGTGACATCCCCAAATCAGAACACTACAGGTGTGACCACAAGTCCAAGGAAACTGCCTCCTCCCAGATGTGTCGAGGAGTCCCTGTAAGTGAACACCTTGAGTAAAGCCAACCCTCACCATGTGATGCCACCGTCCTCGGAGAGAGCCAGGGGGAGACCGCCGTTGTGTGATACTTCATGCATGGTACTGTCCCCTCTAAGAAGTGGGTTCTGGACATTTTCCCAGCACTTGGAAGGGTCATAGTGAGGGAACTTCTTGTTAGAGTCTAAGTTGGGGATCCACACATCTGCTGTGCTTCTCTGTGAATGGCTTTTACGTTTGTAAATGGTTCAAGGAAATTGAAAGGTAATCTCAGGACAAATGAATAGTAGTTACTTCAGCCTCTGGAAATGAAGTCTAACTAGTACCTAGTCACACTCCTCTATTGATGGAATTAGCTAAGGCACCTTGTCCATTATGAGGATGGTATCCAGCCATTGCAAAAACAATCTACAGAACCTAAAATATGTACTGTCTGTCTCTTAGAGAAAAATAATCATAATAAAGATGACTGATCCCTAAGTGATTAATTATGCAGGTCTTTTAAGAGCAAGGTATTTTACTGGAGAGGGACAGGGAAAAAGAAGGAAGGTAGGCAGGACAAAGGTGCTTCAAAACAAGAGACATGGGTAGGAAAAAATCCATGAGGCTCTTATCGCTAATTAACCAGCAAAAAGCTGGATGTGGACCTGTCCTGATAAATAAATGAACAATTTAAAAAGAAAAACCAAATTATGCAATGAGGGTCATGGAGTAACCTCGGCTCTTGGAGCCTCTGGGCAGAGGATTTCCTCATCTACACAGGAGCTCTGCTATCCTGAGCTCACAGAAGAGTGAGAGGAAAAAGTGGGGGCTGTGAGCAGCCTCCCTGCTCACCTCTCACACTGGCTGTGCTCACTGCCAGGAGAGGCAAGACACCTTGATTTTGTTTATGTTTATTATTATTATTTTAAGTCTTTGACAAACGGATTTCAACCCAACATGTCAGTTTATGAGGCCAGTACATCTTAATGTCACCTCTCTCACCATTCTCCTCCATCCCAATCCCGCCCATCCCCTCAATTTTCCTGAGTATTCTGGAGTATTATGGCTACATTCTCTCACCCTTCCTCTCTTCATTCATCTGGCCCTCCCCCCTTGACCTCATCCCTGCCTGTTAAACTTCAAGTGCCAGATCTGTCACCAGCACAAGGACAGCTCAGATCCCCACCTGGCTTCATTGGCTCTTTTTCCCTTCTCGCATCTCATTTGGTTGAGCTCAGATGAAAATATCCTGCCAGCCACCTCAGTCAACACTCACCTTTAACTCCTTAACTAGTACCATGCTATGCTGGGGACATGCGGGCGTGGCCTGGATGGGTGGCTTCTGAGGGAGAGCTTCACCAGGCTGGACTCTACAGAAAGAGCCTCGGGCAGACAGGCTGCAGCTTGCTGGGGTTGGTCCTGCCATCCGTCTTGCTGAGAAGCCAAATAAACACAGTATATAGTTCTCTCTCTCCTCTCTCTCCCTCTCCCTTCCTCTCACAGTATATAGTTCTCTCTCTCCTCTCTCTCCCTCTCCCTTCCTCTCTCTGCCAGTAGGGGAGGAGCCAGTCAATGACACACACCATCAGCATCTATGTGGAATTCTGGATTAAGTGAAAAATTGAGGCTTTCCTAAAACAACAAAGAAAAGCTTTGCTTGCAGGAATCCAGGGAGGAGGGGAGCAGGGCGGGGAAGGTTTGCCAAAAACTAAAAAAAAAAAAAAAAAAAAAAATCACAGCAGCAATCCAGGCAGAAAGAAATGGAGCTGTTGGGTGCCAAGATCCCAGCCTCCTGTGGAGAGCTGTGGGGGCAGCCCAGCCCACAACTCACCCTCAGCCCTGGGTCCCAAGTTAGACAAAGAGCGCAGTGTGTACCTTACAGGAAAAAGAAAAAAAAGAAAAATCCTTGCCATTTGTGCAGCAGGTGAAATGTGGAAAATTAACCACAGGAAATGAATAGCCCTGCAAAAATGCAGCAGGATTAGTCCCTCCCCGTCCTCAGCCCTGCCCAGGAAAGTCCTTTATTATCAGTAGAATCATGTCTTGTGCCAAACGAAAGGTTGTTTCAGGTCATCTTGGAGATGAAAGCCCCCCCTCAACATGTTTTTGAAGGTGCTGGAATTGTCGAGCTTGCACACCTGTGCAGAGAGAGAGAGAAAAGAAAGAGAGGGGGGTGAGTGGAGAGAGAGGGGTGGGACCAGCATTCTAACAAGAACTTACCAATGCCAGAAAGATGCAGGAAATGTGTCAAAAAGCCTACTGCCCAATCTGTAGCTAATTCCTTACACACAAAAATTTAAAATGTGGTTTATCATCATGTGATCCCCAGAGGGGTAAGTAGAATTTCTAATTGTTTTCATCCATCCACAATCTCAGGGGGAGGGGGTAGAGGGGGGGAGGAGAGGGAGAGAGGGAGGGAGGGAGGGAGGGAGGAGCACCTATTGCCATTGCAAAAGCTCATGTTCTGGAAACAAATGCCATGTATTTTGGGGGGGGGGTGGGCTGTGGGGTGCTGGCTGGGCTCTGCCCGGGTAGAGGAAAAGGGGGTGGGACAGAGCCCAGAATGGAGGAGATATGGGGGTGAAAGCCTGAGAACCATCCTGGTATGGAGGTGCTGTTTACATGTTTCTATAGCCAGCACAGATCTCTTTGGAGATTAGGGAAGAAAGAAGAGGAAAAAAAAATAAAAAAGAAAAAGCTTGCATGCATTTGTTTTCTTTTGCTGTCTACTGGTAAGGGATGGCCTAGGTTGTGGTTGTTGTTGTTGTTGTTGTGTTTTGATTTTTAAATCTACCAAAGAAGATGCATTTTCCTCCTTCGGGTTTTTAATTCAATGCCATTTCAATAAATACAGTTGGCAGTCTCTGAATTCTTGCCAAGTACAATTTTACCTCCTTTTTTTTGTTCCCAGTGCTACTTTTCAATGTCCTGATTTTCTTCGCCATTTTCCCTCTAAGAAACAAAGACTCTCCCACCTCCAATACCACAGATGCCAACAGTATTCCACCAAGGAGTGGGAGGTTTGGGTCATAAATCGTTTAGTGCTAGATTCCAGAAGTCTCTACGTGAACATCATCCCTCCATCAATTCTGTACCCCATGGTAGCCTCTGCATCTCCTCCTCCCCCTAACAAGTTCCACCTTCCACCCCTACTCTTACCACATCCACCCAAAATCCAGACAGGAAAGACCCCAAGTTCCACCTTCCACCCCTACTCTTACCACACCCATCCACAATCCAGACAGGAAAGACCCGTTACAGAGATGGATCTCTTATTCAACCTGTCCTGGAGAACAACTGGACAATGGACATATGCAGGGTGCAGTCACCTCTATGAACAATCCCTGCTAGACACAGCCGTCCTGCAATGCCTCCACACGTCCCTCAACACACTTGTCTCACTCCATCATAAAAGTAAATCTGACCCCATGGGTCTGCCCCTGTATGGTGCTGGTTTACCCCAACTTTCCTTGGCCCTGTTCATAGAAAGATGTCACAGGATAGTTCCAGGGCATCCCAAGGGCATAGCCTCTAAACCTGGCTCTAAATGAAGACTTCATGAGCAACATTAGTTTTGATGTTTCAACAATGACAAAAGAGAAAAATGGGAAGGTGACAGAGCATGTTCTCAGGCTAGCTACTGACAATACTCGAGTCTAAGTCTATTTCTGAGTATAGTCACCAAATCTACTATTTTTTTATTGATTTGACCATTTTAGCAAATGATATGTGTTAAGTCTACAAATATGGAGCACCAGGCCAACGACCACACATAGGGGCTTTGTCTACATTGGTGTACTAGGGTGGCATCGTTCCTCAATCAGTGTAAATTACATCCATGTCTCCAGATTTGTTTCCATGAACTATACTAGAAAAATGCATCTTAACCAAAGATAGATATATATTATCACAGATACAAGATCATATATAGTATGTGATATATCATTGTATGATTCAATTCATACAGAGCTGAAGGCATAAAAATAACTTAAGTGGATATTGTTCAAAGTGGTAGTCATTCTGGAAGGTAGCACCTTGGAGAGACCTTAACTTATAAGGCACTTTTTGGAGTGCTGGAAGCGTTCCATTTCCTGATGGGACTGGTATGTATAGGGGGACTCATGTGTATATTTTGCCATTGGATTTTATACTTTCTAGTATGTGAGTCATTCCTCACCAAAAAGAAAAAAAAAATCTACCAAGTAAGTTCAGTGATCATTGATGACTTCTTTAAAATCCATTATTTTTGCCAACTTCAAAAAAAATCTGTGAGAAAAAAACAGATTCTTTGCTCTGTTCATTATGAGAACAAAATCAAATGTGAATAATTTAGTGACGGGTTGAGGTTTGACATCTCAAAGCGTTTAGGGCCTAAATTTTTCAGAAGCTCTTGGTTTCACGGTTCACATTGGCACTCCAGGGCTTCACACCATCAGAATTCAGATATCTGCACTTGGCAATTTTATATGTGGACGTCTACACGTCACATTCTAACAGCACATCAAAACTCATTACATCCAGAAGCAAGTTTGTTATCTCAAAATAGGCACCTTCTTAACCACCCGCCCCCACCAAATTCCTTCACCTTGTTCTATTTTTGTGTCACAGAGTTTCTCCTCTTCTCATTACCCACTTGGAATTTTGTCTTTTGGTAACTCAGCTGTGCTTTCATACTGACTTTCCACATCTCTCACATCCTTCTCTTGGCCACCTCTCCTATGAGCATATTAGCAATGAACGCCTAATTAGTATTCTGGTTCCTGTCTCTGCCTCCACAGCACCACCGGGGAAATCTTCCCTCTGTGCTCCTGACAGTCCTCTGCTGCTGCTGTCCTCCATGTGACATTCAAGGCCTCCTCTAGCCTCCTCTCCCCACGCCTCCACAACAACCCTATGTCCCTCTGCTCCTCACCGGCACAGGAAGGGACCGGGCATATTCCTCCCCCACCACCCCTGCTCATGCCTCGAATCCTTCCTTTCTATGACATCCAAATATTTCATACCCCCTAAAGACAAAACATTCACTGTCTCCCTGAGATGATTTCTGGGAAATGGCTTTCCCCATTGAAGTGCCTGTGTGGTTCTATCAGTGGTCAGGCAGGTAATTCTCACCTATGCCAATGTCTCCCAGTGTTCGCTGCCCCTTTTATATTGTGGTTTTGTTATCAGTGGTGGCACACATCATTTTATAAATACAATGCACCTTGATCATGCCACCCCTTCTCATTCTCTCCCAACCCTCCCAAAACCAGCCCTGTTCTCAATTCTTGGTTTCACAGAATACATGTTAAGTATTATGGTTGCCTTCCTCTCTTCATTCATCCACCCTCCCTCCCCTTGACGTACTCATACCTTTAAAGTGCCAGTTTCCTGGTATTCATTTCGTTGGACTATGATTTTGTTTTCCTGAGGAATTTTACCATCCGAATTCTCCCCTGCAAATACCATACTTCAGTTAATACATCTGTGTACACTTGCATACAAACTGTGTCTGTTTACTTGTACACTTATGAATTAGTTTCTCATTTCCATGTGTGTGAGGCCTTGTCTTCACAAAGTAAAATAAAAAAATTTCCAAGTTGAAAATTATATTAAGTGAAGTAAGCCAAGCCCAAAGAAATATAGGTCCCATGGTTTCCCTTATTTGCAATATCTAGTATATGTCTGAGTCAAGCAGAAAAGGTCAGATAAGGTGATATTAGGGAAATGAACCCTAAGATATGTATTCAAATGTTTTCTTTCATGCGATTGTTTCTAACGCATTTATAAGATTATTTCTTTGTTGCTTTGTATGCCCTTCCCCCAGAGTATAACCCATGCTTTCACTGTATTTGATGTCGGTATAATTTGTGGAGGGAAAAGGGAAAAACAAGTCGTTTAAACAGGGATACAGGTGGACCCATTGCAACAATGAGAAGTACAAGTCGTTATGTCAAAAATGAACTTTACAACTTCGGTGGGGAGGGGGCGGGGAGGATTGGGGGAAGAGGGGGGAATGTGAAGGGATAGGAAGGGGAAACAAAGGAGGAGGCTACAATGCTTGATAAGAAATGTACTCATTATCTTGCCCATGTAATTGTAACCCGTGTACAGTATTTTCACAATAAAAAAAATGTAAAAAAAAAAATTTCCAAGTCAATGAACTCCAAAGCCAAGTGTTACTTTTCTCTATGACTCATGTGTCTCAATGAAGATCTGCTCAGAAGTCGAACTCACAAATAACTAAGTTAGAAACATCAGCAGGGAATCTGTGTTATGTTTGCATTGCATTTAAAATGTCCTTACTAGGATATATACCAACAATAGAATGATGATCTTTTATGATTGCACAGGCTTTTATGCCCCACCTATATAGTATCTCCTGATTCCCCTACCTTTCAAGTGAAGACAGCAGCTTTTATTGGGGCCATTTCCTTTTTTTTTTTTTTTTTTTGGGTCCGGTCGTGGGGCCTGAACTCTGGGCCTGGGCGCTGTCCCTCAGCTCTTCAGCTCAAGGCTAGCGCTCTACCACTTGAGCCACAGCGCCACTTCCGGCTTTTTTCTTTTTGCTTATGTGGTGCTGAGGAATCGAACCCAGGGCCTCAGGCATGCAAGGCAAGCACTCTACCACTGAGCCACCTTCCAACCCTGGGGCCATTTCTTAACAGAGCAAAGCCACATTCTGAAGACAGACAGTCCAATTCCCTTTGGAACAAAGAGACGAAGTTCTCCAACTCTGGCAGACCTGAAGTCAATGCCAGTTCACATGATTACCGGCCCCTGAATTACTTAACTTCTTGTGTAAAAAGATGGGGCTGCAGAGGTGCCCACCTCCTATGTGTTGTGAAGATGATTTGAGGAAATGCCAGGCATCAAGTGCTGTGCAGAGAAGAAAGTCATCAGGGGCACAACTCCCATGCTGCACCCAGAACCTCCCCCTACACCTCACCCCCACTACGCCCCCCACTGCTCCCACCGTGCCCCTCCATCCCCACCGTGTGGGCCTCCCCACTCTGGGCTGGCCAGTCACCCCCTGACCTGGGCCGCCATCCCGCTGGGCCAGACACCCCTCCACCACTAATGGGATCCTGGTTGCACAAGGCCTCTGTTGGCTCTGCAGGCCGGGGTGACAGCGCCCTCCAGCGGCCACCTGCGGAGCAGCACCTGCTGCCCTGTCCAGAGGGGCGGGCCCAGAGCCTGGCGGGGCAGCTCCCCTGCCGGACACAGGGCCCCATCCGGCCTCCCTGCCGTGCCAGGCGCCCTCCTCACCAGTCGCTCTGAGATGAGGGTGAAGTTGGTCCAGACTGCCTCCAACTGAGAGCCTCCGACCTCTGCCTCCGGGACCTCGGGGACTGCGGAGTGGCGGGCGTTGGGGGCAGTCAGGGTGGGAGCCAAGGCCGGCCTGGGCCTGCCGCCCCTCAGCCCCGCTGACCCAGCGACCCTGCCCCCCCCTCTCCCCGGCAAAGAGCAGTGGGGGACCGCAAGCTCCATGCTCTGCTCCCTGGAGAGCCACGGAAGGGCGGCCCGGAGCACAAGGCAACGTTCACACCCAGCACCAAGGACAACGGAATGACTCACACTAACACCACACACACAACACACACACACCACATGCTCTCACGCATTCAATCACACTACACACACAGGTTCACACTCAATCACACCACACACACGCTCACACTCACACACCATACACCACTCACACCACACAATCACACCACCCACTACACTCACACCACATACGTTCACACTCACAATCACACCACACACGCTCACTCAAATCACACCACATACACACCACACAAGCTCATACACCACACCATGCACGCTCACTCACATACACCACACACGCTCAATCACACCACCCACACCACACCTACAGCATACTCACACCACACACACACTCAGTCATACCACACTCACACCACACAGTCATACCACACACACCACTCACGCTCACACCACACACCAAAAATACCACCCACTACACGCTAACACTCAATCATACCACATACACCACACACTCACACTCAATCACACACACCACACATGCATGCTCACAATCACACCACCCATACACCACATACACCACACCACACACACACACATGCTCAGTCACTCAATCACACCACACACACTCACTCAATCACATCACACACACACACCACTCATGCTCACACACCACACATAATCACACCACACACACCACCCACACTCACACTCGCACACACACCACACACCATACACTCACAAAACCCCCCGGTCTGTCACCTTGAGCTGAAGAGCGCAGGGACAGCACCCAAGCCCAGAGTTCAAGACCCATTACCGACCCCTCCAAAAAAATATCCTGAACTGAACATAGCATATATGTATATATGTGAAATAACATGGCAAAATTCCTTTGTGTAATACACACTTAAAAAATGAATGATAGGAAAGTAATATAGGCTCTTCTGGGTGATCAGGTACTAGCAAGAGGGAAGAAGGCCAAGGAGAGGGCAAATTAAGTACTTTACACATGTATGAAAATAGAATAATACTTATTTTCAATGATTTGTATGCATGTATGAAAATGTCTGAGAGCTAATATAGTAGAAGCCAGGCACTGGTGGCTCACACCTGTAATCCCAGCTATTCAAAAGGCTGAGATCTGAGAATCGAGGTTCAAAGCCAGCCTGGGCAAGGGAAGTCCCTGACACTCTATCACCAATTAACTACCAGAAAACTGGAAGTGGTGCTGTGGCTCAAGTGGTAGAGCTCTAGCGTTAAGCTGAAGAGCTCAGGGATGGTGCACAGACCCAGAGTTCAAGTCCCACAACTGACAAAAAAAAGAAAGAAAGAAAAAAAGGACAGTACATATGGCTTTAAATCTAATATATTAAACTTTATTCTTAGGAGTAAATAACCAAGCATTTCTCAGTTTTCTGAGGTCTCTTTAGCAGTATAATTTCAGTAGTTCATCTAGACATAAAAAGTCAAGGTTTATTCCATAAATAAGAACACAATTTAATCCAAAATTACTAAGACTCTTAAATGCCATCTTATTTTCCTCTAGCTATGATGGTATTTTTTCCTCCAAGACTGAATAAATAATACTAAACTAAGTGGGTATCCAATGACTCACCTGTACACTTGAAAATTTCACTTTTGGATTGTTATCTATCTCCCATAAGCCTTCATTGAAACCTTTTCGTTTATTTGGTTTGCCATACTTTTCCTTATTTTCTGAGTAAGGAAATATATCCTTTGGTCCTAAAAAAGCACTAAAACAGAAGAAGATAATAAGTGCAATGCAACCTCAAATAAATATATACATAGTACATTACTAAAATAACACTATTATATGATGTATTTTATAAAATACAAATTAAAGGGAAGACAAGGATATAAAGCCTGATGAATTCATTTCAATGAACACAATCTCACAAGACATGAGAAGGCTCTAAGTACTGGCAGAACAAATGTTAGAAAAGTCTTTTTGGGGGGAGTATGTGTGCAGATATTGGGGCTTGAACTCAGAGCCTCCCACTATTGCTTAGCTTTTTCACTCAAGGCTATAGTCACTCTACTACAGCCATAGTTCCACTTCCAGCTTGGAACACAAGAGAGCCACACAGACTTTTCTTCCAGGCTGGCTTAGAATTTTGATCCTCATATCTCAGGCTGAATAGCTAGGAGTATAGGTGTGCAACACCAAACACCTGGCTTCTAAAAGATTTTTAGGTTCCATTTCTTTGCAGAACAATAAATGTTTTCTGTTTAGGGGTAGGGATAAAGTAGACTATATTTTATTCCAAATACTACTGTTTTTTTCATTTACAGTACTAAGGATTGAATCCAGGATCTCACAGAAACAAGTCAAGCACTAAACCACAGAACTACATGTCAATCTGATATACTTTATTAATTCAGTAATGAGTTCCTAGATCCATAACACCATCTCATTTACATAAACTTTTTTGGGGGGGTACTGATCCTGGGCCTTGAACTCAGAGCCTGGGCGCTGTCCCTGAACTTTTGTGCCCAAGGCTACAGCTTTAGACCACTTGAGGCATAGCTCCACTGGTTACTGAAAATGGGATTCTCATGAACTTTTCTGCCCAGACTGGCTAAGAACCTCAATTCTCAGATCTCAGCCTCATGTGGCTATTAGAGGCAGGAATCACCAGCACCTGGTCTCATTCAGTTTAATTGAACAGTCTTTTCAGGCCCATAGTTCAAGCCCCACAAACGACAAAAAAACAAAACAAAAAACAAAAAAAAACAACTTCTCCCCCAAACTGGACAAAGCCAGGCTGGGGAGAAAAAAAATCACCAAGTCTGAATAACCAGCAAAGAGATGGTCTGGAAGCATGGTTCAAGTGGTAGAGAACCAGCCAAGCAAATGAACCAAGCTCAACGCCTCAAAGCTCAAGCTCAAACTCTAGTACTGTGAAAAAACAGAAAGTATCTAATTTAAACATCATTATATACTTCTAATTAAATATGAACAGATTTTCATGCCAGTAATTATTTAATACATTTTGCTAAATGGATCTATCAATCTATTGTTTGAGCACTTTTTCTGTGCCAATAGTGAGGGCTTGAACTCAAGGCAAGGCTTCATACTCTTGCTGTCTTTTTTCTGCTCACAGCTGGTGTTCCATCACTTAAGTCACACACTCCAATCTGCTTTTCTGCTGGTTAATTGGGATTCCTAAGCACTTTTCTTTGGGCTTCAAACCAAGATACTCAGATCTCAGTTCTCCTAAGTAGCCAGGAAGCTGCAATATTTTAAGAGTCTGGGACCAGCGGCTGCCTGTAATCTAGCTACTCAGAAGGCTCAGTCTGATGTTGGTTTGAAGCCAGCCAGGCAGAAAAGTCCAAGGGACTCTCCGATTAACGAGCAAAATCCTGGAAGTGCAGGTGTAGCTCAAGTAGTAGCACACACCAGGCCAGTGAAAAAGCCAAGCAAGAGTATAAAACCTTGAATTCAATATTCAGCATCAGCACACACAAAAAATAAAATAAATATTGTAACAGTAAATATACTGCTCATTTTTTGATCTTCACAATCAATTCCAAGTATAGGTGGGTAAAGAATATACTCAAGACTGATAAGTCAAAAACAAAGCTGATGAAAAAAAGAACTGTCCATGGGGATACAATCCCTTAAGATTCCTGAATAGTACATAAATTAGCCTAGAGACTGCACCGCTAGTTACCAAGGAACACCTTATGGTGGCTGTGGCTATGGTTTTCTCTTAGAAATGTTCCATTTTCAAATGGCCTACAAAAAGTGTTTTATATGCAAAATGGAAATAGGACATAATC